TATAACCGATTCATGTATTTTCATAATTTAGTAAATGTTTATAAATTTATAAAGAAAAAAATTATTTTCATATTCATTTCTTTATAAATTGGTAAATGATAAATATTGCATTGCATTAGTTCTAATTGTATTAGTTTTTAGAATGTTGGAAATATCAAATTATTCTTACAAATAGACTATTTTAATAATAGTGAATAATATTTTTGTTATAAATTCCTAAACAAAAAAGATGTATAAATTAACTTTTATCATATGTTTAGGTTTTATTACAATTATAATCACTGCTTTTTAAAACAGTAAACATATATATAAAAATTGTATGTATGTATTTGTTGATTTGAAAATTGTACAAAGTTGTTTCAAATAAATAATAATAAAAAAACAAAACCCAGGTGCAAAAAGGGAGATAACCAAGTTTTTTTTGATTTGGAAAAAAGATGGCCGCAAGGCAATAAAAAAAAAAAAAACATGCTTGTTTTTCATATCAGACAATTCTGGGAAAAATGGCTGAAATAGCATGTCTACAATAAAATCTATATGAGAACAATATCAATTATGAGAAAATATAAATATCAAATATGAGAACAATAGATCGAATAATATCAAATAAGTTAAAGTATACAAACAATTAGTAATCTCTAAAAATGATATTAGCAGTAATATGCTCATCTTAATTGTAAAAAATAAGATGAAATTTTGATCATGTCATATTCAAAGCAAAGAACAGATTTATTTAATAACTGTTTATTTTAATGAAACAAATTGTGTGTGTATTACATAAAACCTTTGTAGCTAGATGGGAAAAGGACAAATATGAAATCATCAAATCTGGACTTTTTTTCTTCCCCCTCCTCCTATTTAATAAATTAGATAAAATTCTCTATTGATAATCATTAAAAGAAACACAATTGATGGCAAAGGTTTTAAATGTTTGATCACAAATTTTAAATTGTGATCAATGTTATTGCCTGTTTTTTTTTGTTATTGTTTCCCAAAAGAACTTTCATCAGTCGTCAAAAATGAAATTAAAAATTCAAATTAACATTCAAATCTAAAAATCAAAATGTAGTTTATGTAAAAACTGTCACCGGTTTTAGTTGCCATTCTGGTTTTTGTCAAAGGCTGATGTTAAAATTTTCTTTCACATTTTGGAAACAAGATTATTATGGGCAAATATTTGTTACAGAAAATTCCACTGAAAAAATTTAAATAACTTAAGATTGAAACATTCAATGCACAACCATTTTGTTTAGAATTTAACAGCTTTCGAATTATTTAGATCAGAGAGTGTCATTAATTATTTACTGTTATTAATTACTTTCATCTTATTTATCTTGTCTGAATTTCTTAGATGAAGCCTTGGCAATTATTATTCATTTTTGACTAGTATTTCTTTCATCTTATTTCTCTTGCTTTTCCACCAAGTAGTAATAGTCTTAAGTTGACTGAATTTCTTAAATGAAGCCTTGGTAATTATTATTCATTTATCACTAGTATTTCTTTCATCTTATTTCTCTTGCTTTTCCACCAAGTAGTAATAGTCTTAAATTGCCCGAATTTCTTAGATGAAACCTTGGCAATTATTATTAATTATTTTTGACAAGTAATTATTTTATCTTATTTCTCTTGCTTTTTCACCCAGTAGTAATAGTCTTAAATTGTCTAAATTTCTTAATTTATGACAAACCTTCTAATCATGAAAATCTATCTTAAATATGTGCCATTAAAAGATAATAATTAAAACAATTCGTTGTCTTCAACTTGAAAAATAAAGATAGAAAAAACTTTTGTAAACTTAGGAGAGAAAATATTGCTTTGAACTTTGGGAATATTAAAAACACACAATATTAGCTCAAATTTAAAGATATATATTTTTTTAAAAATCAATTTACCCCAAGCAAGGTGATAATGCTACAAAAGATGCAAGGGGCTACTGGAAGTGAAAGAGAATGAAAAGACTTTGGAAGGAACCAGAAAGCCAATCCTAAACAGGGAACAAAGGATAAAACCCTAAACCTGTTAAAAAAAAAAAACCCAAAAAACAAAAAAAAACCCAGAAGGAATAAAAACTGAATGATAGGCAAACCTATGTACTTCTAGTAAGGGAAGAGAAAAAAATTTCAGAGTTTAAGCAGAGATGTTGGAATTATAGAATTTAGCAGAAACCAGAAACCCAATCCTAAATAGGAAACAAGTGATAAACCTCTACTCCTGTTCAAAAGATGAGGTGTGTGTGCATTGAGACATGTCTCATTAAATAATTTAGACAAGTTTTGTCTACTTATTTTCAATTGGATCCTCTCATATTCACAAACAAGCTTTTCTTCTGCCAAAATGTACACAATTTAAATTACATGATCCAGCAGCCTAGCAGAATATCAACATCTAGAATTTTAAATGTAGCCTTGTGAGAAGGCAAATGGAAACAGCCAACTGTAGTTCTATCGACATGAGATATTATGTATATTCACTAATATATAACATGTTTAAAATATCCTTAACAAGATATAAAATGTTGAAAATTTCCCAGTTTGAATGAGACATTGACAACAAAATGACAAGAAAGGAGGAACAATGCAAAAAACATGGGGGAAATTGTGGGGGGTGGGAAGATAGAGGGGCGCTGGTTACTGCAAAGACAGACAAAAGGAAAGTCTCATAAAATGGTAAAAATGTAAAGATTCAGCAGTAATGAGTGTTGTTCGGTTTCACAAATATTTTCTTTGTTCATTGTTTTGTTATCAAACATAGGTAAAAAAAACCCCAAAGACGAACAATAAAATGCATTCTAAACTCAACGGTTAGTCAATGACGTGGAAACAATAAATGTAACAAAGACGATGTTTCATGGGATTAAGATTATATCTTAATTGTCAATTCTTGCAATATAAATACACACACGCGCACACACTTGAGGACCCTGATATGATAGAGAGAAAGAAAAATGAGGTATTTCGTGTTTTTCTAACAAACAATAAAAGAATCCAAATTAGTTGTGCCCAGCACAGGTCAAAGATGACATATTTTCAATGAAAATACTCGCCACTTTGCTAACTGAAATCAACTCCATTGCACCTGACATATCAAAAGCTAACATCAAAAGAGGCTGTGTTATAACAAGTTTCAATTGCAAAGGTATATACATAAATAGTCCTGGTAATATTAGCCATTTGGTAATGGTAACATTGGTCGTTCGGTAACGGTAACACCAACCGTCCGGCAATGGTAACATCAACCGTTCAGTAATGATAACATTAACCGTTCGGTAATGGTAACATTAGTCGTTTCCTTATAAGGAAACATTCAGCATTCATAGACTACACAGCCAGTATTGCTTTCGGTTGAAATTAATAAAATCTTTCTCTTAAAACAATCTTTCAGGAAAACAGTCCAGTAACAGTCATTACTCTTTCCAGTACTGATGGGGGGGGGCATCCTAACCATTTATTTGAAGTAGTGTGGAATCTCAACATCTTATATTATTATTTTCTCTTCATTTTACATGTGCTATCCATTTTAGTTGTTGCTACTGTTGGAAGTCTTCAGTCTATGTGATTTTTGATATTCAGTAAAGTTCTTTCTTTGGGATTTAATAACACCAACCAACAGAATCTGATAAAAGTTCTTCTTTAGGACTTAAAAATTTCATTTAGCTGACAATATTTTTAATGATTGATCTGAAATAATGGTTGAAATATAGAAGATAGTTTAGATATTCCTGAACAAATTGGATGCCATGCAGTGATTCAGATAAAAGCCAAGATATGCCAAGGTCATTTAAGAACGACACTCATTTTAGGAAGTCTAAGAGAAAAGATAAATTTATGAAACTCGCAATGAATTTTAATGGTGAAAATAACTCTTTCCATAAAGGAGACAGTCGCCATTTGTTGACCAAACATTTAGTGTTACTATTAGTTGAAATTTATAAAATATTTTTCTTAAAACATAGGAAAATAGATTTCTTATGGTCACTAAATGTTATAGTTCTTTCTAGTAGTGATGCGAGTTTGCTTCCAAATTTTTTAAGGTTATGTGGAAAGTCAACAATGTTCTGCAGCCATTGCATTGGGATTCCCTAACTAGGCACTGTTTAGAGCACTCTGTCATTGAGTCAAGTTTGGTTGCTTCAAGGAATTTAGTGAGGTCTATAACAACTTCTATACATGCTTAAGTGGTAAGTGAGGTTCCAGTGGTGTACCTGGAAGTCAGACGAATTTTCTGGGAATTAGTTTCATGTTTCCTGAGCACGATGGTAGGGGATGAATTATATTGATGGAACAAACTAACGAAACCACTAAATGTGGTAAGAATAAATGGATACAAATGGTAATGCTGAGTTTCACCGTTTCCAAGCAGGAAACATTAGGCATTCATTCACTGAACAGTTACTGTTCCTGCCAGCTGAAATTGTGAAAATAGTTTTCTAAAAACAGATTTTCAAGAAAATAAACTTCTCATGTCCACTAATTGTTATAGATCTTTCTAATACTGATGGGAGTTTCCTTCCAAATTTTTTGTTTATGGTCATGTGGAAAGTCAACATCTCAATTAAATCATTATTTTCCTTCTAGTTACCCACTCTATCCATTTTAGTTGTTGCTGCTGTTGGAAGTCTTCAAGTGATGTGTTTTTTGTTATTTGATAAAGTCTTCTGTTTGCGATTTTGTAGCGCCAGGATTAGTGGATGATGAAGTATTGTCTTCTTTCAGACATAAACTTCTCATGTCCACTAAATGTTATAGATCTTTCTAATACTGGTAGGAGTTTCCATCTTAACTTTTTGTTTAATATAGTTTATCTTTATTTCCCCTTAATTAAAAAATACTTGGCTCAAATTTTCATAAAATACAAATAATAATGTTATTTAGATTAGGGGGTCATATATGAAAAGATCCCCTTTTACCTTATTTTACCTTATTATATATCAGAGCGTGTGCGTGTGTGTGTGTGTATATAGAGATCAAGTTAATGGAAACAATCAAATTGATTAAAAAGTTTCAGACTTCAGCATCGTAGTCTTGCAGTGCAAATCTTGTGTTGACATAATACAGTTCATAGGCAAAGGAACGACTCTTGTTTGTAACAACGGAAGTGTATTCGCCAAAAATATTTCGTTGGTAATGAAACTTACGGAAATTCAATAACTGTAGCTGTGAAAGAATGTGATGCATCTCAAGATATTCTTCTTTGTGTGGACGGATTGATTTGATTTTGGCCGCATTGATCATCACTTGAGCTGGAACGGTGTGAATCTCAAATGCCAATTGTTTTACGTTTGTCAAACTACCATCATCGATTGCTGTACGAAGACTTGCCCATTCATCATATTCGATGTCAATTTTAAGATAGGAAATGATTGTCTGAATAAGGAAACATAAAAAACTGTTCAAAAGAAAGTCAAAATATAAATCATTCATTACTGAAAACAAACTCAGTATTTACGTTTTTTTTAGTAATTCTAAAGTATTGAACATTGCGTATTTCTTTCATCTTATTTCTCTTGCTTTTCCACCAAGTAGTAATAGTCTTAAGTTGTCTGAATTTCTTAGATAAAGCCTTGGCAATTATTATTCATTTTTCACTAGTATTTCTTTCATCTTATTTCTCTTGCTTTTCCAGCAAGTAGTAATGTTCTTAAATTGTCTGAATTTCTTAGATGAAGCCTTGGCAATTATTATTCATTTTTCACTAGTATTTCTTTCATCTTATTTCTCTTGCTTTTCCACCAAGTAGTAATAGTCTTAAGTTGTCTGAATTTCTTAGATGAAGTATTGTTATTTTCATTAAATTAATTTTTGTCTATTATTGTTTTCATCATCACTAAACTAGCAGTGTGTAAATATTAGTAAACAGTATTTGTCAAAAATAAATAAACTTGTAATTAGATTTTAATACACATTCTGAACGTAAGGTTTCCCAATATTAAAAAGAATTTCCATTGAGGCTTCCTTAGATCTTATTTTAGTAATTGTGACAAAAGTTAAAATTAAGAGGAAAAAACACATGAATAAAAAAATAATAATGACTGAAGATCATGTTCAATTTTGTTTTTTTTTTAACTGATATAGTCTTATAATTTAATTTTAAGGTTGAAGGACAGATGTGCTAAAAATGTGACAAAATACAAGTAATAGATGAAAATATTAGAAAGAAAAAATTTAAATGAAAAGGAAATTCATTAAAGGAATTTCGTTAAGAATTCCTGTCTTCAGGGAATACTTACAGCTCAAGCGGACACTAAGGTATACGAACATTGAATAATCAATAACGGAGAATTATCTCCCTTGGATCAGCCATTTTATTGAAATCATTTTACTTCAGTTTCTATTAAAATATTTCTTCTTTAAGAAAATCATTTCGAAAGGGTCATAGGAGTAAAACAAAAACCAAAGAATTGAATAATCAAAAAAGAAATTTTCATTCTTATCAGTGGAAACTACAAACTAATTTAGTCAGTAAAAATCCATATTTCAATCGTTTCCAGATGTGATAAAATGCAACAATTGAAAATATTAGTAAAAAAAGTGATATTAAGATAGGATTTCCTATCAGAAATTGTCTTTAGCATACACCCATGTGTGCATACATGTATATACACACGTTTTTTTAATCATTTCACGCCAAGAAAGGCAATAAAGCTAGTAAGGCAGACAGGGTTACTGAGTGTGAAAGAATCTGAGAAAAAATACATTAGGAAGAGAGAACAATAAAAGGACTGGATTCAAAGAGACAGAAGATAACGATTGACGTTACATTTAAACTTTTGAAGATCAAAGTTGATTGGAAAGCAAGAAGCCAGAAGAAGGTTCAGCAATCGAAAATTGTGAGAAAAGAAATTGTAAGCATACAACTTATGGTTACATCTAGTAATTTCAAGGGTAAAAGATAAGACCTAACTGTCAATATAGTACTGCACTTAAATTCATAAAGATAGTCATAGCTCCAAATTGTTATTACCTGAATTTGGATTTAAAATTTCCATTGTATAATGTTCAATGTCTGGGATTATAAGAATCACATTGACAAAGATTATATTTAAAAAATAAAATAAATGCTATATTTTTCATCAAGCTACAGACTTGTGTGACACTATTTAGCTATGGTAATTGGCTAATTAACCATAGAAATTAAAAACAGGAAATACTTAAGGCGAGAAAGAGCTATATCGAAAGATAGACTGAGCAACGTTAAAAAGATTTGATTTTATTTACAAAGAAAAAAAAGGATACCTTTCGCAAAAGACAGAAAATCCATAAGAAAAAGCAAGATGTGGGATTCTGTCAAATTGATTAATGTCATGGTAAGGGAATGTCGTGCCAAGGGAAACAGAATTCAGAAAGAAAAACAAAGCCAGCTGACACATGGCAGTCATAAAAAATTTTGCTTGAGATGATCGCGATACAGGCAGAAAGAATCAATATTATCTTTCAAAGATATCATTTATTTTCGATTCTTGGGTCCAGCGAAGAAAGGCCATTTGGTGTGTGTAAGAATTTTGGCATGAGAAAGAAAATTGTTGAGAGAAGTATTATTATTGTTACTTTATCAAATTGTCGACGTCAGGTACAGCGTCATCAAAAAGAGCATCTGGTGATAAGAGAATTTTTAAGGCATGAGAAACTAGGGAATTTGATTTCTCAAGTAAACACGGACCCCAGTTAAAAGTTGACTTTGCGGAGAAGCCAGATGTCGGGTTCTTGACAGCGATGGATGAAGCGCAGAGGTTTTGGCTGATGGGAAAAAGAAAAAGAGAATTTTGTAAACAAAATTCTAGATAATAATTTTAAGAAGGCCAGTCTAGCCACACCCACACTGAGGAGATCATTGGTCAAGTGGTAGCATGAGTGATAGGCGGAGGTGAATGTATGAGAAAGGCGGAGAAGTTATTAACATCCACTGAGGGGATTGGTATGAGATATCAATGTGAGAGAGGAAGAGTCTAGGAGGATGGCTCTCCTCCAACCTCTCCTCACAGATGAGGAACCCCCTAAAATGGAAAGTGATTAATCTTCCAAAAATGGGAAGTAATTAATTTTCCTGGCCTAAGAACAAAGAGAATTCTTGTTGGGAATCGAGAATTATTGAGGAACCCAAGCTATGTCAGGCCCCACACTGGGTTTTGGTTGGTACCCATATAAACGATCGACCCCGGGCAGTTTCGCAGTTGGGTTTGCAGTTGAGTTCGGAGTAGCAGACTGTTGCCTCGTAGAAGCTGACCGAGAGATTCCACGTCCTTTCAACTTCACCTTTCTATCAAAAGCCAGTTATATTGACGAACGGCTTAAGATACCAAACTCGCTTAAGAAATGCAAAAGTGTCACAAATCCATAGAAACAGGTTGGGAGAGAAACACATTCCTGTATATAACAGACGGATAAAGATAATTTGTTATTTCTCAACATATTTGAACCTCGTGAGTTTTGTTTTATTGTTTCTTTTACTTACGCATGCGATATCACCTTCACCCCAGATTCAGCTTGCACTACAGCCCAACAGATTGATTTACGCCTACCTAAGATCAAAGTCTGGCGTGGGTAGCTTAGACTTGAGGTCAAAGTAGTTACTTGATAACCAGACGTTGGAAGTGAGCTGGGAACGACAAAGCTGGTATCGAATCGGGAACAACCAGATCAATGGGGACACAGGCTGGTGGCAGTGACAAGGAGTCAACCTCAAACGCTGGTGGAAGGAACCTTACAGCTTTGCACCGCAACTGGGAGTTGACCACAGGCCGACAGCACAGTGTCACATATTGGTGTCGCGACCAGAGGATGTTACATATTGGTGCTGCAACTACCAGAGGGTGCCACACTTGGTTTTGGTTTGGTTTAGTTTAGTTTGTTTTACGGCATATCAACCCCAATGGCTCATTTAATGCTGACAACTTTTTTTTTCCTGGTGATATTTTTGTTTTGTCAAATCTATTTCTGGTAATATTTTTTTCCCTCAAAATATATAGCTGGTAATATTATTTTCAAAAATGTATTGCTGGTAATATTTTATTTTCAAAAACGTACTGTTGGTAATATTTTTTTTCCTTCAAAAATTCATTTCTGGCAATAATTCTTTTTACAAAGTATTTCTGGTACCAAAACATTTTTTTACACTTTCATAATGCTTTTTACATCAGTTTTGGGGTAAACTATTTGCCCATAGCTGGGACCCTAACAGGTGCCATCAGCCTGGGTCAGGGTGGACCTGGAAAACCCAGCAATTAAGAGGTGGTTCCACACTCCTCAAAGCCTCCTGATTAGAGGCCTTGCTGTTGAACATAGTTTATTGTCTTACCCTGGACGTGGATGTAGTTTATCCAGGACGGACTATAGACATGATGTACCTATGTACACACAAATACAGATGGAAACAAACATGTCCACACAAGTTGTTGTTTTATACTTTGAAAATGATACAATGATGAAGTTGTTTTCTTAAAATGTAACCTCAATCTTGAATATTTTTTGTAAAAACAATTTCACATCTAACATTGAAGAGAAAATAATGCTACATCCAGCAGCAAGGCCTCTGATTGAGAGATTGGAGCTTTTGAGGAGCATGAAACCATCTCTTAATTGCTGTTGTTCCCAGGTCTACCCTGACTCAGGGTGGTAGCACCTGTTAGGGTCCCAACTATAAGCAAATAGGGAGTCCCCAAACAAACAAAACACTATCAAAGTATAAAATACATTTTTATAATAAAATACCAGCAATACATTTTTATATAAGAAATGACCAATAATACATATTTATAGTTGACTTACCAACAATAGTGAAAAGACAACATTTACTAAGAGCTACAAATGACAGGAAATTGTGGAGAGCCATGATCACTCACATCCTCAAGGGAAATGGCACAAAGAAGAAGAATGAGATTGTATAAATGGTTGGCTGAAGATGATTTTGTTTCCAACACTCAGAATTCTTGCTAGTTTACCTCTTACCTTTGTATGGCCGTTGTTTTTTAATAAAGTCTTCAAAGTGTTCAGTTTCCAACCCTTTAGATTGTAACCATTTTGGTGTCCGAGGCCTGTTTTTGAAATGTGGACCAGATTTGATCGGTTTTGCTTATCATCTTTCAAGCTACAATAAAAAAGGGGATCAAAAATGTTCAGTTCTGCTGTCAAGAATTACAAATAAAGATTAGATTTTCTAAAAATAAAAGTAGCATTGTGCGAACACTCAATACAGACTTGCCAAAAAGAAAATGGCCTATTGCCGCCAAGTGAAACAACAGATACAAAATCCAAAACAAGGGAAATAGCAACAGTAATTTCTAGTTTGAAATGACCAGGCAACTGATGCAAAAAGATATTTACCTGGCCTCTCCACTAAGGCCGGATATGAAACAAGGTCTTTTTTTAAAAGTGGGACCAAATACACATACGTGTATGGACCAAGGACAAAAACTGCAAAGTCCCTGCAACCCCAGTCTTGCTATCATTGATATTACTGACACCACCTATATTAGTGTAATAAGGGAGGTGTTGCTGCAAGGTAGGAATCCCCAGGACTAGGTGCCTTCTCCCATTTAAAATAAAGAGAGAACAGATACCATGCTTTGATCTCAGCCAAAAGACCAAGGAGCGATGCATTCCATACAAAAATCTGAAAAAGGAGAAATTGGCAGAGCTTAAATACAGGTTCAGGAATGTACCACTTTTAACCAGCAGGGGTGCCAAGCTTCCTGTTGCCTATTTAAATAGAATTAGCTTTATGCAAATTTAAAATAAAATTTATTTAAATGAAGTAGCTTATTAAATCAGTGCTTGGAATCAGTCATTCTGAGAAAAATTTAAATAATTTATATTACATTAACTCAACCTCTTTTAGTGCAATGAGGGAGGTGCTGTTGTAGTGTATGAATCCTCAGGACCAAGCACTTTCTCCCATTTGAAATAAGGAGAGAATGGATACCTTTGATTTCAGACAAAAGGCTGAGAAACCATCCAACTGATACGAAAGAAAACGTGTGCTCAGTTCTGCATAACCCTTCCTCACTATAATCACCATATGTGTGAGTGACTTGGCTGTTTAGTTCTAAGAACTGAGGTGCTGGACCTTCATATATCCAATACTCAAAGAAAGTTCTCCACATATAGTTCGGTAATTTACATCTTAATATCAGTTGTTGGCAAAAATTTTTCTACCGACGATTACATTACTGAAAAATATGTCGGACGAAAGGCACATTAAATTTAAAAACGTAACACATTTGTATCCTATTTTATCAATAAATTATGATCTCTGTCCTTAAGATTATTTTATTCTGGTGTGGCAACAAGAACCTGTTCTCTGGTATTACCAGCACTTTTCTCGTGTCTACCACTGTTCGGGGTCTCCGGTATTACCAGCACTTTTCTCGTGTCTACCACTGTTCGGGGTCTCCAGTATTACCAGCACTTTTCTCGTGTCTACCACTGTTCGGGGTCTCCAGTATTACCAGCCCTTTTCTTGTGTCTACCACTGTTAGGGGTCTCCAGTATTACCAGCCCTTTTCTCGTGTCTACCACTGTTAGGGGTCTCCAGTATTACCAGCCCTTTTCTCGTGTCTACCACTGTTCGGGGTCTCCAGTATTACCAGCCCTTTTCTTGTGTCTACCACTGTTCGGGGTCTCCAGTATTACCAGCCCTTTTCTCGTGTCTACCACTGTTCGGGGTCTCCAGTATTACCAGCACTTTTCTCGTGTCTACCACTGTTCGGGGTCTCCAGTATTACCAGCACTTTTCTCGTGTCTACCACTGTTCGGGGTCTCCAGTATTATCTGCCCATTTCTCAGGTATCTTCCTTTCAGTGTCTTATCTATTACCAGTCCTGTTCTTGTATGTCTTGCCTTTCAGGCCCTCAGTTATTGTCTTACCCATTTTTAGATATTAAAAGAAAGTAAAAAAAAAAATCCGATAATAAAAAAAAGCCGTCTAACCTTGGATCATAAGCATAGACATGACATCCGTAAATAAAAGACACGGCATCAACAAATTCCCAATTCTGATCCGTCCTGGAAAAAAAAAAAAAAATGATATGTCAACAAGATGAAAAATGTTTTGGTTGTTGTGACATAGGAAATTTCTTTTCATTTTGTAATTAATTTAACACCAAGTTCAAAACATCTTCAAGTTAAATAAAACATATCAAAGGTAGTGAAAAAGCTATTTTCAATAAGTTGTTTCCGGGCAATTTAATGTGAGGAGGTACTAAAATGTTCTTGAATGAATCCAAAAGAAATATTTCAATGACCAAATGTCAGAATACTAATTTTAGTACCAGGCTCCTCCTGTCACACTGATCTTTACAAGAGCCAAATCAGACCAACTATGGTCGTTTCTTTGTACTGCTCCAGAAAGTACCAAACTCCTGTCATGATCTGATCTTTACAAAAGCCAGATCAGACCAAAAATCGAGCATTGCTACCCAATTCTTACTTTACAACCATGAGTTCAAACGTGTTTATGTGGCCTTTTGGGTGATGAATTGTTTTTCCCCCTTCAACTCTTTTCCCACAGGTGAAATATTGCCAGATCTTGCTATTCCATCACTATTTTCAATCCTTGTTTTTACCCACACAGACTTTCACAGCTAGGACCTACCATGGTACATACACTGTCAACTAATACTCATACCATTCATCTTTCACTTATAAGGAGGAAGGTCTACACAGTTAGCTTCTTCCTCCTAACAATGTGGAATGGACTCCCAAAAGAATGTACATGAATTAAAACTTATGGAGCATGTTGCTCAACTGCTTTCTCAAGAGCCTGTACTTTATAATGCTCCATAAGTTTTATATGGGGTTGAGGTCAGGAGATTGGGGTGCCCATGTCATAACACTCACCTGCTTCTCATCAAAGTATTCCTTCATCAATTTTGATTTGTGACAGGGAGCATTATCCTGCATAAAAATGAGCTTGATGGGGTCAATTTGCACCCTTTCAGCAGAAGGGAGCAGACAAGACAGTAAAATTCTCTTGTACTGCTCACTCCTGAGGGTCTTTTCAATAGGTTTTAAGAAACCAGTTCCATGAAAAGAAAAGCATCCCCAGAACATTATACTGAATGTATGCTTGACAGTACTTACTGCTAAATTCAAAGAGCTTTCAAAGCTTCTTCTTCGGATTTTAGATTGCTTATTCTTTGAATTTAGCTCATCTTTCATTTCATCGAAGAAGAGAACATTTAGTAAAAGAAATCACGTGAGTCACTTTTATCGAACAGCACTGCATATATATGTATACACACACACACACACACACATATATATATATATATATACACACACACATATATATATATATATATACACACACACACACACACATATATATATATACATATACACACACACACACATATATATATACATATACACACACACATATATATATACATATACACACACACACATATATATATACATATACACACACACACACACACATATATATATATCTATTAAATATATAGTACTAGTAAACGTATAGCTGGAAACATTATTTTTTTTCTAAAAACGTATAGTTGGAAACATTATTTTTGGATGTAGTTTATCACCATACCCAGGACATGTATGTAGTTTATCGCCATACCCAGGACGCGGATATATGATGGGAAAAACTGGGAGTTCACTATTTACTCATAGCTGGGACCCTAACAGGTGCTACCATCCTAGGTCAGGGTGGACCTGGGAACACCAGCAATTAAGAGGTGGCTCCCCGCTTCCTCAAAACCTCCTGATCAGAGGCCTTGCTGCTGGACGTAGTTTATCATCTTACCCAGGACGTCAGGTGTTGGTTTCAGTCTGTGGTTATGACTGCAAAACACTTGACTCTCCCCTTTTATAGGCAAAAGCACACAAATGAATGCTGGGATTTTTTTCATAGCCATTAAAATAGGCCAGTTTGCAATTTCCTATGACTCATTCCCAGTCCGTCTTGATTGAAGTCAGAATGCTACGTTTACTTGTCTGAACTTGTTCTTTCATGTCAGACCCAATTCTTAGTTTATAAATGTTTTGCCATATTACTATTGATTTGTTTTTACATATATTGTTTCTTCTCTTTATATTATGTTTTTGTCTTGTTTTTTCTTTTTCGTGTTATTGCAAATTTTGTCAATTTTGTTTGTTGGACAGTTGTGTTATTTATTTTTTTCATTTGAACATGACTACTCACTCCACACAAGGCAATAAAGCCACTAAGACACAATGGGTTACTGAGTGTGAAAGAATTAAAAAAAAAAAAAAAAAAAAAAAAAAAAAAAAAAAAAAAAAAAAAAAAAAAAAAAAAAAAAAAAAAAAAAAAAAAAAAAAAAAAAAAAAAAAAAAAAAAAAAAAAAAAAAAAGAGAAACTTTACTAAGAAGCAAGAACAATAGGAGAGTAATCAAGAAGACAGTAGATAATGATTGGCATTGCATTTAAATCTTTGAAGATCAGAGTTGGTTGGAAAGTGTAGAGTTGGAATAGAATTTGTCTATATTTCTGAGATGAGGTATTATGTATTCCAACCACTTGAAGAAGGCCGGAGTGTACAACGGCTGAAACGTAATAAATATGTCGACAAAGATGAAGACAATAGTCTGAATAATGTAAATAGTGAATCTCTAAATATATAGCAGCAATATTATAAATATGGGTAAATGGTAGACATAGATATGCAAGATGGATTCTGGTGAGAAAAATGGTCTAGCAGGACATAAGGAACTAGCTGACCTAGAAGTGGATTCAATATAATCTTGCCACTATAAGTCAGCTGAGAATGTTAACCACAGATGGCGCAATAAGTCACTCTCCTGGAGGATAGCATTAGCCATATTGATGGAAGGCAGAAAGGAGTCTCTCAGCTAGATAGAGAGAAATTTCATCTTGGAGGCTTTAAAATTAACATGCTATTCTTTGCCCCAGTTAACAACAGACTGCAGGTCATTTTTTTACATCAGCTGCTAATCTGACCTTATGATCAGATCTACTATCAAGACAAGAGGAAATAGTTGAGAAATCACTTTTTTTTTTTCTGGACAAATTTCTAAATGTTAAGACAACATCAAGACTTATGGTTACTTACTGAAAACAATAAACAATGCAAGGTTTCTGTAGACCAAATGGAGGAGGGAGACATACATTCCAGCCTCCTTCGCCAGGATGACCGAGCCTCTCGTTTTTTTTGCACCATAATTCTTTCTGAATTAAAAATCTGCAATAAAAATTTTTTATAAATAAAATATTTAAAAAAAAAAAAAAAAAAAAAAAAAAAAAAATCAAAGAAACAGAAATAAAAAGAGAATTTGCTAAGACTAAGATTCAATCTGTGACAAGATCTTAGCCATTTCTGAAGCAAACTCCACCTTTTGCTATTAAAAAAATATATTTTGTCAATCATATTTGTGACTCATCTGTAGGTAAAAAGAGTCAGGCTTAGTGGGTTAAAAGATATTTATTAGTAGTTGACTGTCTGGCAGATGTACTAGCCTACATTTTATATTAGACAAAGTATTGAAAGTAAAAAATAATAAAAACTTAATGGTCGTAAAGCATTTTCTAATAGAAAGTCAATACTTGTCAAAAATTAATAATAATGGCTGACAATGCTTCATCCAATAAAAAGTGAAGATGAAAGTAAATATTAGTCAAAAATGAATAATAATGGCTGACAATGATTCATCTAATAAGAAATGAAGATAAAGGAAATCCTAGTCAAAAATTAATAATAATGGCTGACAATTCTTCAGTTAATCAAAATTGAAAAAAAAAAAAAAAAAAATTAATAAAAAATTACTAACTGCTGACATTTTTCCTTTTACCATTATAGTGGATTTCACTCATTGATATTTTTTCTTTAATAGTTTAAGAAGTAATGTGCAGATTTATATAAACATGTAAGGAAACTTACAGAAGGACAGAATATGAAGATTAAGAAAAAATTTAAAAACATAACAATTTTAACAAATGAATCAAGTCAATAATATTCAAATGTGATAAAAATCAAGTAATATTTAACCAAACTTATTTTTGTTATGATCATTCAAAATATTGACAAAGGTGTTGAAAATGTTTGTCAATTGAGAATTTATTTTGTCATGTCCATAAAAAATAAATAAAAATTAATCATAGTTTCAATAAAATAATTATAACAATTATCATTCATTCCCTCATTCTAAACCAAGAAGAATTGACCCTCACTATTGGATAAGCAGCTCACATGGACAGCTCGTTAACACGTGTGTCAATGAAAAATTTTGTCTCCTTTTCCTTTTTCAGGCCATAATAGTAACATTTATTATTTATCTAAGAAAAGAGCCAGACACTATTTGTATTTTTACAACTAAATTATCTGGACACACATTACACACAGCTATAAAAAAAAAAAACATATGAGAAAGACTGCATATATTTTAGTTATTCTTTATCTTATCCTTCTGTCGGATTCTGATCCATATTTGATGTACATTTCATCCTAAACTCACAATTTTACTGTCTCTCATTTCTCCAACACAGCATAACAACCAAATAATAAAGAATACTTGTTTCATTGTTTCCACATTTTGCTGTTTCTCCTATTTACCAGTATATATATATATATATATATATATATATATATATATATATATATATATATATATATACATACATACAAACCACATAACACCCTTAAGCGCTTAGCCTTGGAACGTGTAGAATAGAGATCAACGTGTTTTAGTGGATGCAGCAATTTTCAATTTGCTTGTCTGAATAATGTTCAAGAAGCAAGAGCAAGATCTAAAAGGTCAGCCAATTTAACAGTGATCTCATCTCACAATCCTCACACTTGCTCTATATATGGCCTCCTTTGTAAATCACTAGCGGGTCTTAAATGCTACTTAAGATTATCACACAAACTTTCATAACTGAATCAATAAGCTGTCAGATCCTCATATGTCGAAACCGACGGGAGAGTTCATTATTAATATATATATATATATATACACTGTCTGCGAATGACATAATTTAGCTCTTGAAAACATATTTCAGTTGAGCACTGTTGAGTGATAAGCTAATTCTATAAACAACAGCCATCTGCGTTAATGCAAAGCTCTTCAGTAAAATGAATTAAAGCACTCCAGCTGATTGGCATTTGTTTACATTCATAAAAACAATACACAATATTTAATTGTTCCTCTCTGTTGAATGAAGATAGCTCAGTAGTAGAAACCCTGGCTGATTGGTTGGGTTTCGATCTGGGCTTGAAGTATTCAGATGTCTAGTCGCACTGAGGAGCTGTGATACAGAAAAACAGTACTGTCTGCGAATTTTTATTTTATATATATATATATATATATATATATATATATATATATATATATATATATTTTGGGGTTTATAATTATTTGCTCAGAGTTATAACCCTCTACAATTTTATAGGCTTCTTCTTTAAGTCAATGTTTGTAGTGTTGAACTTATTTTATGTGTGTTGCAAGTTGATGGACTTGACTGGCTAAACAAATGGATGAATCTGACAAAAGATTTTTAACAAAAGTTGTATTTGCATTTGGATGGTATGTGGACTTGATTAGCTAAATCCCTGTCATTGAAAATGGACTTTCTTGGTTGGCTTACACTTGGTTTTGATTGGCTTACAAATGCTATTTTTCAAAAAAATATTTTACTGACAAATGGGTTCATTTTTGATTCACCCCTAATAGCAAAAACAAAAAAAGAAAACAATTTTGTCATCTGGGTTAAGGTCACAAAGTTATGGGAGACTATAATGAGACATTTTTAGTAGTTTTTTGTCCCGTTTTTTTCTTATAAGAGATCAACTCTAGTAAAAAGGTTTTAAAGGGTAGATTTAGGATTAAATACCACCCTGATATTGTAATGTTGACAAATCCACCCTTATATAAGGAATATTTATTTTAGCTACACTGATGGCAGACTGCAGACCAGTGTTTTGGTTGTACCTGACAAATTGTTAGTCTCTGCTACCCAAGGGACATGCTCTCCGTGGCAGGCAGCTGTGACCTTGCAACCATAGTACAAGTAAAAAATACCTGGAGGAAGTTCAACAAACTGCTCCCGGTCTTCTCTTCTTGCAAACTTTCAGTCAGGCTGAATTTACAGCACTTGTGTTCAGAGTGTGATGCTCCATGCCAGTATGACCTGGCCTATGACTAGGCCAAGCCTCCAGTGCTTGCAGTGTAATGACAGGGCCATGATCAGACAGATCTGTAACATCAAGCCAGAGGATGTGGCCACTATATTATCAAGTGAATTGTTAGCACAGCTTGGTTTCAAGAATCTTGACCTCATTCTGAGAGAGAGACTGCTTCACTGGTATGGATATGTGGAGCATTGCAGTGGTACTATCAGGTGTATCCATGACTTTCAGGTTAAAAGAAAGCTGGTCCCTGGGAAGTCCAAGATATCATGGAGGGAGTTGACAATGTGATTGCACAGAGTGGAAGCTCTCTGCAGTTGATCCTTATGATGGATGCATTTGGAGATCTCAAGTGAGAACTACCATCAGTGCAGCTAGCCAGTTACCTGGAAGGGGGCCCACTGATGTAGACGATGCTCCCACACCTGCACCATATACAAAAGAAAGAAGTCATATTGGAAGTTTGCTTGTTCCTTTTCCGAGAAACAACCCAAGATAGTTGTTACAATTTTTTATAAGAAAATTAGGATTTTGACCAGTGGCTAAATTATTGTCCAAGAATTAGTATGCATTTTAATTAATTGACATTAATGTTTTATGTTTGGGTTTAATAAACAGAAAAGAAAGATATTTCAATAAAATATCTGTACTCTTTTGCCTGAGAGAAACTTTTCTGCCTTCCATTAGTTAGCTGATGTTAATCTCCAGGAGAGTGACTTGTTGCACCTTCTCAGGCTAATCTTTTCCGCTGACATGAAGTGAAAAGATTATATTGAATCAATTGCTACATCTGCTGCTAGGAAAGTTGGTTCACTGTGTTGTGCCAGACAATTTTTCTTGACAGAATCTATTTTATAAATCTACCCTTTGTCTATGCCAGATGTTCTTAACCAGGGGTAAATTTACCCCTGTGGGGCAAAAAATTATATAGTTGGGGGTAAATAATTGAAGTACCTGATAATTAAAAAAAAACACCTGAAAGCCAATGATGATATGAGAGTAGCATTATGAGAAAAAGCTCCTCGTATAAACAAACTGATTGACTCAATGTATCAGCATTGTTCCCACTGATAATGCTTCTGCTGTTTCTCTTCATTATTTTTTGTAATACAAATTAACTTCATAATTTTCTATTTAGAAAAGGTTTGATTTTCTTCTTTTTTTTTTATACGAATGTATAATACTATTTTTATACAAAACCTAAAGTCCTAAACAATAAAAAGTTTCCTTTCTGACCTTCTTGTTTTTCTGTCACTTTATGACATTGATGTACAAATGAATGATGGATTACTAATTTTTTGATCAGAATACTGATTTTTTACTAATTTTTAGTATTTGTCAGTATTTTTTATTTCTGTTTTGGTATTTTTTACTAATGACTAATTTGCACAATTTTTAGTCACAAATTAGTCAGTACTAATGATAATCATTCATTAAAAAAAAAAAAAAAAATTTTTTAGTATTTTCCAAAAATTTTTTAAATTGCCAAAAACAAAAATACTAAAAAAAAAATTTTTTTTTGAATGAATGATTATGATTAGTATTAATTTGTAGATCTACTAATACAGCAGATAAAATGAATAATTTTTTATTAATGACTACAAACGTTTATAAAAATACTGAATTTTATACAGAGTACTAACTTATACTAAAAAATTAGTAGATTAGTACTAAATAAGAAATCAGTATTTTAAGTGTCATTTAGTATTTTTTTTAGGCACAGTATTTTGACTAAAAAAAAACAAAAAAAAAACCCTTAGTATTTTGAATGAAAAAATCATTCATTCATTTAGTCATGAAATTGTACATCAATGCTTTATGATGGCTATGAATTTTTTTGTATGGGAGTAGGGGGGGTAAATGGAGAAATACATAAAGCCGAGGGGGGTCAATGATGGAGGTAAGGTTGAGAATGGCTGGTCTATGCAGTGAATATTGCTGCCACATCTGGTCTGCTGTGTTTGCTATGTATTTAGAGATCCTTGATAAAATCCAAAGAATCTGCTATGTTATTTGTCCTGACCTGGCATCTTGGTTTCAGTCACTTTCTCACCAAAATA